GAGCTCGGACTTCTTATGTCCACCCATATCCAGAGCTTGGGCGGCGCCATTTCGATCCAAGAAGCGGCCATGCTGGCGTTCAGTTCGCTGGCCCTGCAGTTTGGCTACCGCATTCCCCACGACCCGGGCTTTGTGCTGTCGACAACGTCGTTGAGACTGCGATACTTTGACGAGTTTATCATGGCTCTGGGCCTAACTTGGACCATTCACTTGGGCATGGAGTTGGGGTCTGTGGCCATTCGAATGCAGTACCGAAACCGGTGGTTCCTCGCTCTCAACACCCAGGTCAAGGCCGCTTTGACCGTTGTCGTGTACGTTCTGCTAGTGGTGACCCGAAATACCACCAGCTACAATGCCGCCATCGGCAGTTTGATTGGCATTTGGCTGTTTGCCCTCGCGTCTGGGTTTGGTTCCGTCGCTGTGAGTAAGTGGTTTGATCGCCCTCCCTCCACGCCAGCTTACCCCCAGAGCTTTTCCAAAGACGACGTGTCGGTGGAGTTTTCCAAAGCCAACATCCCCCGCAACCGAGTGGGGTACCTCAGTCAACAATACGGCCGGTGGTCGTTGTTGGGAATAGTCCTCGAAGGCTGGCGGGGAGTGCCTACGGGCCCCAAGTCGTTTTTGATGGCCTGTCACAGTGTGTTGGTCCATTTGTCCGCTGGGGGGACTGTGGTGCCCTTGATTTGCAAGGATATCACCCCAGACTCGTTTAACAAACTGGTGCTAGCGACAGTGTGCATGAAGAAGCGACCTGGATCGATTGCGCCTACGATGTCAGCCGCACGTCAAAGCGAGCAAGATATACTGGCACTAGAGGACACGTTTTTGAAGTAGGGTATTTTTTACAGTTACATAGAATAATGCAATTTTTCATGAGTGTCTACGTTCCAATGACACTGAGGTACAGTAATAACGTTGGCTCAAATACTACCGACCGAGCCAGCGTAGTACTATCGAAGAAGAGTATTTCTAGCCCTTAAGATAATACTCCACGGAGTTGTACGAGCTAAGGTTGGGCTGGATAGGTGAAACACAAAACAGAGCTCAATGCAGCTTGCGATAACGTGTCTTACGATTGGAAAGTTTGAATAGCTGCTGATTGCGATGCAGATTGATTCATGGCATTTGATCAACGAATACAAATGCATTTTGCATCGGATAGAAAGGGGCAAATTGAAGTAGATTTTGCAGGTGTTCGCGTTCCTGTCAAACCTTATGTATTACGGGGATTTTAAAGGCATTAGTACGGTAGCCGCCAATGCTAGAATAACCCAGTACAACCTACTCCAACCAGCACTAATTCACATCACACGCACCCTCACCCGTGCGAAGCCGGGTCACGTTCACTAGTTTATTTATATTTACCTGGGATACATCAGAGTTGTACAGTACTGTATGTATGCCTTGACGACATCGTGCAGACATTCTTGGTGGTGTTCATGAAACTCGTGCACTGCCAGACCACCCACCACGACGACCTGGCAAAGTCCGAGTACTTTGTCGGGAACCAGCCCACGACCACGGCCGCTGTGGGTCCCGTGAGCTACATCAAGCGCGCGCTGGCCACGCACTTGAAGTTCCTTGTGACCCTGCTGGATCACCCCGTGTTTCACGTTGACGATAGGATGTACTTATCGTAGCAAGCAATTAGTCCCACCCACTTCCTCAGGGACGTTTTAGGTCAATAGTACCAAACTCCCTGAGTGAGTGGGCATTTGACTTGAGTAGGTTGGTGTGTCACCCACTCACTCGGGGAATTGGTCTACTATTAATACATACCGGTAGTATTCTCGCGATTAAATGCGCACACCCCGCGGGAGTTTGTAGCCACTTTGGTGTGTCGCACACTTTGAAAAATCTATATTATTATTGGATAAAATTACGTAATTTTATTCAAATCAAGCAATTTAAGAGGACAAAAATGGATGTTTTCGAGTGGTTCCAAGCCAGCGTTCGCCGAGGCAATCGACAGCGTTGACACGACCATACATTTTCCGGTCATGTCCACCCTCAACGCTCCTCGCAAGCGCGGCGAAGGAAAACGACTCACGGACACGGAGCGCCTCCAAATACTCGGTCTGTTTTCTGCTCCGGTCTTCGCAAATACGGCGACTTCCAATCGACGGGTCGTGAAGCAGTACGGTGTCAGCGAGTCAGCCATTCGAGCGCTACGTCTCAAGAAATCCAAGATCATTGAACGAACCAATGGCAAGTGTAAGGCCCAACTCGACTGCACCCGATGGTACACAACGGCGGCGTTCCCCGAGCTCGAAACCCAGCTCTATGCGTGGCTCATCAACATGCGTCGCCAAAACGTCTCGATTCCACCAAATGTTGTACGGCACAAGGCCAAGTCAATCGCCAATTCGTTCGACCCACCCCTCCAAGTTGAAGCTTCCCCTGGTTGGCTCGAAAACTATCGCCGAAGGAGCTCAGTTGGTATCACCATCTTACCCGGGGAAGGCGGAGAAGTGGACAAAAAAGACCCGGAGCTGCTTGCCGGCCTTGCTGTGCTCTCGAACATCATAGCCACGTACCCTGAGCACTGCGTCTACAATATGGACGAGACGGGACTTTTTTATCGCACACTTCCACGGAAGACACTCCTTGCCCCCGACGAATCCCCTTTCTCGACTCGAGGTAGAAAGGTCCGCAAGGATCGTGTCTCACTCATTTTACGTGCGAATTCGGACGGTACGCACAGGCAAGGCCAATGAACCCCTATGTGTCCGCGGAATGTCCTGGCCCGTGCACTATTTCTCCCAGAAGAAAGCGTGGGTTGATCGAAAGGTTTGCGAAGCCTGGTGCCGTGCGGTCTTTGTCCCAAGTGTGCGGTCATTCACGTCAGAAAAGGTATTGCTTTTTCTCGACAATGCGCCTGGTCACTTCTGTGACATGGAAATAGACGGTGTGCGGATTGTATTTTTGCCACCCAATTGCACTGCTTGGCGCCAGCCTATGAATCTGGGGGTGATTGCGGCTACGAAAAAACGATACCGGTATCTTCTGTTGACCCACGCATTGTTTTTTTATGAAAAGACATGCGAAGAGCAAGATGCGCTTCGGGAGCAAGCTGCACTTTTAAGCGCTGGCGTTGCTGGCGTCGATTATGGGAAGCCTGCGCACGTCCTGGATGCAGCTCTGTTGATCGAAGAATCATGGGATAATGTTACTGTGAATTCGATTGCCAATTCCTTTCGTAAGGCTAATTTAAGATCGTCATATCGTTGTACTGAGGAGGTCGAGGTTGACGATAACTACGACCTCCTCAGTCTAGTTCCGCGCATTGGAGGACACACTGAGGATGAGTTAGATGAATATGTCGAATGCGACGATCGACGATCTATCGACTACATCACCAGTGTAATGAGTGAGCTTGGGCTTTAATCGCAATGAATTTTTTTCGAATTCTGAATGGATTTTAATTGTCCTTGACCCATGATTTTCCATCTGGTGCGCACTTAGAACCCGCGCACATTAGCGCGAGATTATTGTAGTACGTATTTCGCTGTGGTGGCAATCATCCCACCTAATTCTTGACATTCGGTGATCGTGCGCACAGCCTTGAACTTCAAGGGCTGTTTTTGGCCCATCTGGTGAATTTGGTGGCCCATCACACCGGTCAGTGTGATAAAAACGCGATTAATCGATATGACAAAACTCTTTGCACTTCTTGGAGAACACGCCGACGATCTTATCTGCTGGTCCGAGCGCTTTTGTGACGGAGCTGGTGTCTGGCCTTTTGCTGCTCAATTACCTCGTGATACGCTCATCTTGTATATTTGCTCGATGGGTCGATATTTTATGAATTCGTGTGTAATCTTCGGTTGTTACTTTGCCCAACGCTTCATAGGTCGTGCTTCGACCAACCATCTTCGAAGTTCGGTCCTCGTCCTTCGTACACAGCCCTTGTTATCCGGATTTCCCAGGGGAGGGATGGATAAATCCTAGCGGAAATAATCCGGGGAAGCTGGGGATCGAACCCATGACCTTTGAGAAAGAAACCGATGCTCTACCACCTGAGCTATTCCCCCCCTCCGTACCTCCAGACGGGTTTACTCATGCCATTTCAAAAGTGTTGAAGGACAGAAAAGAGCTGCCAAAACACGGACCTCATAAATATAATAAATAATTACCCCTCCCCGTACTAATTGTAAGATAATATACTAACAAAAGTTTCTTTAATATTAATATTGCTCGTCGATACTGAAGCTACATGTATTAATACATAATATAGCATTAGTCAAACCTACATTATTTACTCCTATACTAGGAGTAATGAATACTAGGAGTTCTAGTACCCCTAGTCCTCGATGGAAAGGGATTCCTATGCACTGAACATGTCGCTCATCTCAAAATCTGCTGTCGTCTGGGCCGCTAGGTCACACATCACTCGTCGGTCAAGGTCGTGCTGGGACAGCATGGAAGAGCCAGCATCAAAGACCTCTCGGTCATAAGTAACAACCTCGTCGCGCCACTTCTCATCGATATGGACGCAGTTGTATATGTCGTAGACTGAAACTTGTCGGGAAGGACGGAATACATGGCCCACTTTACACGAGCAAGCTTCTTAACATATACTACTACTAGTAGGTTGGATGTTTGAGTACGCTTTAGTCTTGACTTGAGTATAGACATTTCCATTTTGCATTCTGAAATGTAATCAACTCATTTTTTTGTGAATTCACATGTCAAGCCAATTGGATTCGTTGATTTCAGCACACTCCGGATGTATTTTGAGATTCTTCTATTTTTCAATATTTTTTAAAATATTCAACTTTTCCCCTTTTGGCAGGAGTAAACCCGTCAGTAGGTACAGACAGTACTACAGTAGTAGTATGAAAGAAGTGGCACTCGATGCTGACGCCCACTGTCAACATGTGGTCATTAACAGATGGTTTGAGCACAATTTTAGTTCGGTAGGAGTTCTCCGCCATTTTTGTGACGGGTCACAAAAAATCTAGCAAAGGTCTAGCTAGCGACCTCTGGGGAAGGACGGTCGAATTCGAAGATAATCACACCTATCGAACAAATATACCAATATGATGGCCGTATCATGAGCAGCACAAGTCAGGTCGAATTCATAAAATTTCGACCCATCGAGCAAATATACAAGATGAGCGTATCACGAGGTAATTGAGCAGCCAAAGGCCAGGCACCAGCTCCGTCACAAAAGCGCTCGGACCAGCAGATAAGATCGTCGGCGTGTTCTCCAAGAAGTGCAAAGAGTTTTGTCAAATCGATTAGGGTGAACCACATTATCGATTATTACACGCAACCGAGCACCTCGTCCGGGTGAGGAGGCACCAGATGGTCTGGAGGGCGAGGCACCACGTCGTTCGGGTGGGGAGGCACCAGGTGGTCTGGAGGGGGAGGCACCACGTCGTTCGGGTGGGTAGGTACCAGATGGTCTGGAGGGTGAGGCACCACGTCGTTCGGGTGGGGAGGCACCAGATGGTCTAGAGGGGGAGACACCACGTCGTTCGGGTGGGGAGGCACCAGATGGTCTGGAGGGGGAGGCAACGGGTCGTTGCTGGAGGTCGAGGATATCCGAGGCAGTCTGGTCCTGGAGGCGCTCCATCATAGACGACACATTGAGACGCATGGTACACAGGAGATGAAAGAGATGAATTATGA